GGGTGGGGATGGTTGTTGGGATGGTGAGGTGATGGTGGGGATGGTTGTTGGGATGGTGGGGTGATGGCGGGGTGAGGGTGGGGATGGTTGTTGGGATGGTGGGGTGAGGTTAGGGTGGGGATGGTTGTTGTTGATGGGGGGTGAGGGTGGGGATGGTTGTTGGGATGGTGGGGTGAGGGTGGGGATGGTAGAGGTAATGATTATGGGGTGAGAGCAATGGTAGAGATGGTGAAGGTGGTGGTAGTGGTAATGGCGGTGGTGGGGTGGGGGTGAGGGAGGTGGTGGTGGCTGTGATGATGAAGACTTTGGTGACAAAGAAAATAGATTCACAGAACCTGGCCTTCCCTACTTCAAAGAATTTTTTTTTTTTTAACAAAAAAACCAAATCCGACTTTTTCCTTTGTAGCCAGTCCATAAAAATTACTTGAAGGTGGATTTTGGAATCAAAATCGTTTCAGGAGAAGGCACTGCAGGAGAATCTGTACCCTCAGACTAGAGAGTCGCCCCCTCTCTGACTCCAGTGTCTGAAGTCCGCCCTCTCTCCAGCACCGCCCCCTCGGCCCCTCCCTCAGTCCGCCTGCTTGCCTTGGGAGCCAGTCTTCCTGAGGTTTTAGGGCACTGGCCCTGAACCAGAGCTGTGGGAAGTGAAGGTGGACCCAGGCTGCAGTGGGGGGTCAAAGCAGAGGTGTGGGGAGAGCAAGGAGGGCCGAGGCCGAAGTGGCGGCGAGCTGCTGGGGAGTTCATGGAGAGTGAGGCTAGGAAGTGGGGGCAGTAGTGGGGTCTGGGGAGAAAAGTGCCGGGCTAGAAGGAGGAAGGCGCTGGGACTGCGCACCAGGCACAGGGTGGAGCTGAGCGAGGAGGCAGCGACGGCGCGGGTCTGGGACCGGTGCTCCGGGGAGGGTCGGAAGGCACCAGGGAGGAGGTCAGAGAGGACAGGGAGCCCCGAGATCGAGGGTCCGAGCTGGAGCACGTGCGAGTGTGGTCGCTCAGGTGAGGGTGGTGGAGCCAGAGTTTGAGCCGCGTTCCAGATCCACGCTGGAGAACCTGGGGTGCAGCGAACAGACGGGGAGCGTGGGCAGGAGCCTGCGCCCAGGGGCCCTACGCTGGGAGATGCGGGTGCGCCTGGGCGCTCTGGCGGGCGCCGCGGCACTGAGTGGGGCCATCAGTTTCGTGCTGCTGGCGGTCGCCATCGGCACCGACTTCTGGTACATCATCGACACCGAGAGGCTGGAGAGGAACAGCTCAGGGGCGCAGGACCGGGGACCCGCCAACCACAGCCAGCTGGAGCCTCTGAGCTCCCACTCCGGTCTCTGGCGGACTTGCCGGGGTAAGGGTCCTCCCCAGGTGTCCGCGTTCGCACCATGGTGCTGTACCTGCAAGCCTGGGACCTGTTGCTTGGCTCACACTTCTCTCTCACTTAGGGGTGCGGGGAGGGTGGACAGAGCGGATGGCCTGCACAAGTGCTCCTGGCCGGGCCCAGCTAGGCTCACAAGTGCACAACGCTCCGTTTGCTGTCTTGGGTGGGAGACATCTAGGGAGGCTTTGTGGGGAAAAATGCCAGGGTCCTGCCCGTGAACTCCTCCCTTCCATCAGTCCAGAGCTCCTGCACGCCTCTGATGAACCCCTTCTGGCAGGAGAATGTGACGGTCAGCGACTCAAGCCGACAGCTTCTCAGTAAGTCTGGGGGTAGTGGATGGATGGAGGAACTTGGGTTCCTGAACTGCAGTGGTTGTGATGGTGGTGGGTGGTGGCCTTTGACCACCAGGCCTGAGACAAGACTGGGGCTACGTCAGGGGGGCGGGGCCGCTCTTGCTCTACCTAGAATGTGTGTAGAGTTCTTCCAACTAATCGACAGTCCTGTGCACCAGGCAACTTGGTGACTGAGAACTCAAATCTAAGCAATGCCCTCTAGGCCCTTATAGACTCTCTGCGGAGAGAGGCCCTCACTACATGAGCAATTGCATTTGAGTGGCAATCACCACGAAAGACGGTAGGGGAGCCCACACCGGTGTCTTAACATCTTTGGATGCTGAAGGCCGAATGAGAGGCCTTGTCTCGTAGACCGAGGGCCAGCTTGTCAGTAGAGAGGGTGTGGGGTGCTTCAGGGCAGGTGCTTAGGAGGTGGAGAACAGTCTGAAGGGCCATTGCGTGTGCCTTGCTGGCGTCAGGCTTTCCCAGCACCTCCCCCGGGGCCTAACCCTCCGTAGAGAAGAGAGGAAAGGGCTGAAGGGCACTTGTGGGAGGAAGGAAGGAAACAAAGGAGCAATTTCAGCCTTTGAAACTTAGAGTCGTGCAGACACCCAACCAAGAGCTTCTCATCGTTGTCTTTAGTTGCTTCTCACATCCACCCTGTGAAGCTGGTACTTCCATCTTCTCTCCACCCACCTCAGTACTGGGCACGAGATCCAGGGCCGTGCTCACACCTGGCAAATGCCCTACCACCCAACGCTATCTCTAGCCCTCTTTCCTTCTTTTTAGTTTTTGTTTAAACAGTCTCACTGTTTTCTAGCCTGGCCTTGAGCATACTCTGTAGCTCTGTCGGGCCTTGGACTTGCAATGCTCCTGCCCTCAGCCTGAGTGGCTGGGATTATAGGCCTGTAGCACCAGGCCTGAACATCGCCTCCGTTTTTGGCTTTCACTTGGAAACTGAGTCCAGGAAGGGTCCCATAGAGGGGATCTGAGGAGGAACTGAGGGTGGAAACCCGCAGGCCTTGGGTGTGGGGGGCCTTGGCACACAGCCCGAGGCTTCGGAAGCGACAGTAGCTCCCTGTCCTCTCCTTTCTTCCCCAGCACTTCCCTCCGCGCCCCAGGCCTCCTCCTGCCATAGGACTCCGCACATGCTGCTTCCTCTTCTGTGTCTCTGCCTCCACCTACCAGCTTAGCTTGGCTAATCTCCTTCTCATTGTAAAGGTCATTATGCTCTTTTGGGTGTAGAATCTGATTCTCTCATTAGTCTGTGAAGTCCACAAAGGCAAGGGGTTATAGCTCTCCTTCCCACTGTTGAATTGTCAGCACTTAGCACAGAACCTGGAACACAGCAGATCACAAAGCAAAAGTCTACAAGAGTGAATGCAAGCTACATTATGGGTCAAAATTACATGTTATACATCCAATATGTATGAATGAGTCACTGGGCCTGTGAATGAATGGATGAAAGGTTGAATGAATGACTGGATGAGTGAATGATTAGACAGATGGATGAGTGAGTGAGCGAATGGCTGCATTAGTGAACAACTAGATGGGTGAAGGAATGAGTGAATGAATGGATGAGTGGGTGGATGGATGTACAGATAGATGAATGGATCAGAACTGTTTCTCCCAAGTCCATAGCATGCTGGAAAATATTTAACAAATAACTCCTGAAAAAAATTTAAAAGCCCTTGATTCATGGTATTAGCCCATTTCTGTGGTGTAAATATTTCCGCTGTGACCAGGTTTAAATTGCCAGCACAATATTACCTGGCTCACAGAATTCCCCAAGCCTTCCCTGGCTCTTGTCAGCTGCCCGTCAGCCAGCTCCAGCACACCTCTGTGTAAGTTCCCAATGCCAGCAGCTTCCTGAGGCCGCCCCTGTGTTGGGGCTGAGGAGGGTGTAGGTGATCTGTACTTGAGGTACTCCAGCGGCATTGAGCAGTACTTTGGCTGCTGTCTGAGCACTGCCTCAAGAATCATCTAGAATTCTTGTATCAGAGAGAAGGGTCCAGGCCTAACTTGGTTCTCTGGCCCACTTGATCCCAGGGTCGATTTTTTTTGCCTTTCACTCATTTCCATAGTGACCAAAAGGAGTTGTCCAAACCATTAAGGGTGCTGTCAGGATCCCCAAAATGAGAACAAAAATGCATGAACTACCAGGAGGCCGAGGCAGGAAGACGGAAGACTGCTGGGCTCCAGTGCGAGTTCAGTGTCAGCCTGGGTGACTTAAACTAAATTAATAGTTTAAAGAGGTCTGGAGGTATAGCTCAGTGACTTGCCCAGCTTGTGCAAGGTCATGGGTTCTATCCCCAGCTCGGAGGGAGAAAATAGTAACAATCATGATAAACCCAGACATTGCATGGGCAAAATGAGCATCGCTTAGGACCTCATTTGCTTTGTGGCTGTTGTGTGAGTGTTGGGCAACATGTTGTCTCAAAGAAGGGCTTGACAGGCGAGCTGTCAGCAATCGTCCGCTTTCCCCCTACAGCCCCGTGCAGACTCTCTATCTTTAGACTCCTCGCCACGCTGGATGCTGTCATTCAGCCACCTTGTCCTGCTTCTAGGTGAACCAACAGCTAGAGGTGGTTGACACTGGGCTGGCGTTCCTTTGAACTTGTTACAGTAACAGCCCTACTTGTTCCCCGACTCCGAGAAACAGGCGGAAGTCTCACTCAGCAGATTCCTTGGCGCTGGACCTCTGATGTCAACGTAACCACAGCTCCGCTACCAGCCGTACGTGTGACCTTGGGCATTTCCTCCACCTGTCTGGGATCAGCTCCCTCGTGTTGAGGGCACCAGCCATCTTCTTTCTAATCTTTTTTTGTTTAACCTCCTTCTTACACAGAGCACTTTTAAAATTGTTTGTTATTATTGTCTGTGTGTAGATCAGAGAACAACTTCATGAACTGTTCTCTCTTTCTGCCTTTATGTGGGTTCTGGGGATCTCAAGCAGGCCAGTAGGCTTGCATGGCGAGCACTTCCTCCACCCTACCCCCAGCCATCTTGATGGCCTTTTAATCTCAAGGTGAGGACGGAATTTGAGAGGTATCTTTAACAAGCCCAGGGTGGCGAGTGCTTGGTTACATATACCAAGCGCCGGAGCTGCTGTGATTCCCACTGTATTATCAGGAATGAGGACAAGCTGCCCCTTTGGACTGTGCACTCATTGCAAATCACCTCCAGAGAGAGCTTTTTCTCAGAATTGGTTTTCTCCTATAAATGAATTTTGTGTTTAGTCCAAGCTCTTTATGATGTAAAGATGTTCCAGTCATTTGAAGATCCTTTGTATTGGCCAGAGAGACAGGCTGACAACAGAGTTGTCCTGAGTCGGCCCCTGAGCTGATCCTGGTGGGCGTGGTGGACAGAAAACTCAAGCCTGCCGAGAGACCACTGTAGTGTATTCTGAGCCCGGCAGGCAGAGTGGTCAGCCATACCCCATCACCACGGCCTCATGATTCCACTGGGCCATCTGGGAGGAGTGAGCAGATGGCCCCACTCTTCACCTCTTCCGGCCAGGGACAGAGGAAGCCATCTGTTCGAGCTCCGTTTCTGTTGCTGTAGCAAACACCCCGACAAAGAGCAACTTAGGAGGGAAAGAATTTGCTTGGCCCACAATTCCAGTTTACAGTCCTGTTTGTGAGGAAGTCAAGGCAGGGACTTAGAGCATTGTGTCCACACTCAAGAGCAAAAGGATGCATGGATTTTTGCTTGCTGGCTAGTACTCAGCTAGTGGTCTCTACTTTTATATAAGCATTCCTTAACCTGAGGGTTGAGACCCTTTGAGGGGGTGGAATGACCCTTTTTCAGGGGTCCTCTAAGACTATTGGAAAACACAGATATTTACATTATGATTCATAAAAGTAGCAAATTTACATTTATGAAGTAGCAATGAAAATAATTTTATGGCTGGGGGTCACCACAACACAAGGAACTGTATTAAAAGGCTGCAGTGTTAGGAAGACTGAGAACCACTGTTCTATATAGTCAGGGCCCAGTGCATGAAATAATGCCTTCCACATTTAGGGTGGGTCTCCCCACCTCAACCAATAATTAAGACAACACCTGCCCCCAGACATGCCCACAAGCCAACCAAGTCTAGATAATTCCTCATTAAGACTCTCTTCTCAGATGAAAACCAACCAGTTCAGCATCCAGGGGGCGCATCCCTCAGCAGCCGTCTTGATACCCTGGCTTGAGTATTTATTTGACTTCCAGATTCGCTCTAGGAAAGTGCTTTTTGTGGCAAGGAAGTTGTCACTCAGCACTCTTCAAGAGCTGTGGTGGACAGCCAGTGGACTAAGGGTGCAAGCCAGGAATCTTTTGGTGGCAAATGACAAAAACACCAATTATGCCAACTTAAAGAGGAGGAGGAATGGCTGGCCCACATTTTTGAGGAGGTCTAGTGTGTTGGGATCCCTGGGGCTCTGTCCCTTTTTTTCCCTCTGTGCACTTTGCTTTGGATGGGGGTGTGTTTGGGCTGAATCTTGCAGTCCAGAAGGGAGGGGCTATCCCACTGGACCAGATTGGATCATAGGCCTTTGTGTTGCGCCAATTGACTGAAGCTAAAAGATACCATGTGCTGACTGGCCAGGTTGGACCATGTAACTATTCCTTTTCTTTTCTTTATTTTTTCCCCCTCTCCGAGGCTGTTCTGGAACTCAATCTGTTGACTAGGCTTGCCTCGAATTCTGTCTCTGCCTCCTGGGCACAGGGATTAATGGCGTGTGCTACCACTCTGGCCCTCATGGACACTCTTATTAAAGGGGCAGAAATGGCATTAGCCCCTTAAAGACAATGGACAGGAGTAGGGTTTCGTGACTGCAACTTACCCACCTGTGTGAATTCTTAGCAGTCACCTGTGACCGTAAGTGGGCTCTTCTGGGAGGAAATGAGATTCTATGTGCAAAGATCCAGGGATAGGATCTGTATACAGTAGGAGTTCAATGAATGCTTACATCTTTATTACATCCCTGAGCCTCCAGCTTCCCACTTGGAAACTTATTTATTTGTAGAGATTTCTGAGGGGTGGCAAGATGGCTTAGTGGGTAAAGACTTGCCGTGCAAGTCTGAGGATTTGAGTTTTGTCCTTGGAACCCTGTGCAAACACGATAAGAGAGAATCGACTCCATAAAGTTGTCCTCTGAGCTCTACACGCATGAAACGACACACATCATCTCTCCAACATATACGCACACATATGCACACATAATGAAGTTTTTAAAAAGAAGTTTTTTGTATGCGCATGTGTGCGTGGTGTGTGTGTATGTGTGTGTATGTGTGTGTGTGTGTGGTGTGTGAAGGTGTACATGCCAGGCAAACACATGTGTAGGTCAGAGGTTAATGTTGTGTCTTTCTGTATCATTTTACACCCTGTTTTTTGAGACAGGGTCTCTTGCTGAACCTGGAGCTTCCTGTTTCAGCTAGACATCTGGCAGTGAGTTCCCATGACCAGATTGCCCTCCTTGCCCAACCTGTAGGGTTACAAATGGGCGCTGCCACACCTGGCCTCGACATGGACGCTGGGTTTGGAACTTGGGTCCTCACACTTGCGTATCAGGCATTTCACCCCTGGGCCATCTCTCTGCCTGACCTCCTGATATATTTAGCGTACATTTGCTTCCCTCCTAGTGTTTGTCTGTCTGTCTGGCATTGAAGACCATGAGACAGACGCTGTGGGCCAAACACTGCTCTGTCGTCTTCACACGTATCAACTTTTTAAATTTCCACAACAGCCCACGAGGGGCCAATATTATACATATTATTACACCCAGCTTTGTAGGTGAGGAAGCGTATGGCACAGAGAGGGTAGGTGAGTTACTTAAGTTTGCACAGTAGCTGGCCGATCTGGGACTTGAACCCTGGCAGTTTACTTCTCCTCTGTTGGAATGATGCTGTGCTGAGTCACATTTCAGTTCAATGTGTGTACAAGAAGACCAGAGGACCCGGGAGCTGGCGCCGTTGGTAAAGTGCTTGCCGTGAAAGCATGAGGACCCCAGTTTCACACCCAGAACCTACAAAACCCAATCAAACAACAGCCAAAAGCAAAACAAAATTCATAACCCCCCTCAACTCCCCCCACCCTGGTGCTAGCGGGCAGCTAGGCAACAGGTGGATCCCTGGGGTTCTTTGTCCAGCCAAACTGAGTGACGTCCTTAGAAACGACACCTGAAGTTGACCTCTGGCCTCTACATGCACATCACACAAGCACACTCAGACCTGCACACTCAGGAACATGTAAACACACACAGGCACATGCATGTATCACACACATGTGTGTGAGACTGACCAGAGTTTCAGGCTACTCTGCCTCAGAGAGGAGACTGAGGAGGAAGAGCAAGTGGAACAGGATTGGACCAGTATGTTTCAGAAACAGCCAGAAGGCCTGTAGTTCTGGAGGGTGGCCTAGAAAGTGCTTCTCAGAGGCGTGCCTGACCTGTCCAGGCTCATCTTCAGCTGTGTCTTCAGAGTAGGTGACCATGATCAGGCGGACTCGGAGGTCAAATGCTTTCCACAGCAGCCGAGGCTGACTGAGCTGGGGCCTGGCCTCCGTGAGGCCGCAAGATTAGGGAGAAAAATCACCCGACCGGGTTTCCTGGTGTTCTGGATGCAGGGCCGCTGCAGTAGTGTGGAAAATTAAAATGAAGCTGGGTGGGAAATGAAAATGGAAGTGTGGGGGCGGAACAGAGAGAAGGACATAAAACACTCAGTGTCGAGCGGCTCTGGGCACAGGAGGGATATAGTGTATGATTTCCTCAGAGTGGTGCTGCAGGCGAGGTGGGATGTGGAGAGAGAGCGAGGTCGGTCGGAGCTCAGGAGTCTGTCATGCTTTAGATATGGAGTCTCCTCTCGTGGTCTGTGGAGAGCTCTAGGAAAGGCAAGGGCAGAGAGGTTGTCACTGAACGAGGCACTCGCCACCGAACGAGGCACTCGCCGTGTCCATGGACGACTCTGTGGATGAGTTGGAGCTGAAGGAGCTTGAGGCTGTGGAGCCGGTTGGAGGAAGAGGCTGAGGAGTGGGGTAGTGGCCTCGTCTCCCTCTCTGCTTCCCGGCTGCCCAGAGATGAACAATTCTCTGTTATGACATTTCTGCCTTGTCACCAGCCCGAAAGCCAAGGAGCCAGGTGACCATGGACGGAATCCGTGGGAGCTCTGAGCCCAAATCAACCTTTCTTCTTTTTAATTTTTTTTCTCTCAGATATTTTACCACAGCAATGGAAAGCTGACGAAGGCAGGCCTTGATTCCTTGGGAGAATGGAGGCTTGGGTGTGAGGGCTGCCTTTCTGGGGTTCTGTGGAAAGCCAATCCCATGTTTAAAAAATTGAAAAGGTTGGTTCTGCTTCTAGAATCTGTGTGACATTTCTGGGAAGAGCGATGCCATGCTGGTTTGAAGCAATAAAAAGGAAAGAATGGAAGAGCCTCAGTGCATAGAATGAGGATGACTAGACATTTATGTGTGTAGATCAAGTTAAGGAAAATTACGTAGCCTGTAAGAAGAGAAGATCAGTGTGCCTAGAATATAAAGCCGCACCGAGGAACGAACATGCCAGTTACAGAACGTCCTGGGCCACATGACGCTGTTGCTGCAGTTCTCAGCTGGATTAGTCAGCGTTCCCTTATGAGAACACCTGATGTGATCGACTCACCAGGACACAAAGTTTCGAAGGTCTCACTGTACTGTCCCTTGGGCCCATCACTTGGGGCTGTGGTGACACACTGTGGTGGGGACACATGACCAAGCAGAACTGCTCACTTAAAACTGCCAGGATGTAAGAATGAGAAAGAGGCCAGGGTCCTCCAATGTCCTTGGAAGACACCCCAGCCGACTTCAGACCTCGCTCCTGTCCCCGGATCCTACTGTTCCATCACCCTGTGATAGAGCCAAGCGGGGACAAGCTTTGGAGACACTTATCCCAATCACGGCCAGTATAGTACTATAGTAACACCACACAACCATCTATAATGTAAAGATACTACCATCTATTGAGCACCTACTTTTGGCATATATGATGCTCCTACTGTATACCACTGACGGTATGGTAGTGTGGTAAATGATGCTATACTAAAAAATGATGCCACTAACAAAAAAAAAATATATATATGCCTGGGTCTAAGAGGCGGCTCAGCGGGAAGAGCACTTGCCGCACAAGCCTTGTGACCTGAGTAGCATCCCTAGAAGCCCCACGTTAGCTTCTGCTCTGTTTCTATGACAGAACACCCACGGCAAAGACTGCTCTGGCTCACAGTTCCAGAGGGACGGCGTCCATCACGGTGAGGAAGACCCAGCAGCAGGCGACAGCATGGCGGCAGGAGCAGGTGGCTGGCTGGTCACACTGCGTCCACACCGAGGAAGCCAAGAAGAGTGGGAAGCGGGGTCAGGCTGTCAAACCTCAAAGCCCACGGGACCTCTGGGATGAACGTCTTCTGGCAGGGCTCCGCATTCCGAAGGCTCCACAACCTTCCCACAGTGCCACCAGCTGGGGACAAAGCTCAAACACGAGAGCCCGTGGGGGACAATGCACATTCAAAGCACCGCCAGGCATAGGTGGAAAGAGAGAGCCGACTCTGCCAAGCATCCTCTGACCTCCACATGCGCGCCATGGCATGCCCTCACGTTAAGTGAATACATCCAGGAAAGATACACCATGTCCTCAGCTCCAGACCCGGAGATTGATCTATTTGGGAAAAGCAACACTGCAGATGTAGCTGAGGACCCCCCAGGTGAGGTCCCCTGGAGCTGACGTGATGGGCTGTAAAACCCATGACGAGTGTGTCCTTAGAAGAGGAAGAGGCAGACATGGAGCTGGAGCCTGGAGTGCAGCCTGCTAAGCCAAGAATGAATGCCCTGTGTTGCTGACTGCTGCCCGGAAACGGCTGCTGTGAGGAAGGGCCACCCCCTGCAGTGGGACAAGGACCTTGATTTTGAACACCTTGACTCTACAGCTTAGCAAATAAATTCCTGGTGCTTTTTGTTTTGGCAGGGTCTCATGTAGCCCAGGCTGGCCATGCATGAGTGAACTATGTAGCTGGGGATGACCTTGAATTTCGGATCCTTCTGTCCCTACCTGCCAGCTGCTAGAATTATAGGCATGTACCACAATGCCCTGTAGTCAGATGGTTTCTCCGGTCTTGCCCAGCCCCAAGGTCCCAAAGCCATATAAAATAATCATTCAGAGGCTTGATAGTAATTATGGCAGACTTCTTGCTAGTTAGCTCTTATAACTTGGCCCATTTCTATTAATCTGTAAATTGCCACGTCGCTGTGGCTTACTGATATTTTTACATCTTGCTTCTCTTGGGGGTGCTGGTGTCTCTCTCCTCTGTCTTTCTTCTTCCTGTCCCTCTCTTCAATTTCCCACCTAGCTATAACCTGACTTTTCATAGGCCAAATGGCTTTATTTATCAACCAATCAGAGCGACACATAATCACAGCATACAGAAAGACATCCCACAGCAATGCCTGGTTTAAACTTTTTGTTTTTGAGATTGTTATTTTTTAAAAAAAATTTATGTGTATGGGTGTTTATTTTATTTTATTTTATTTTTGTGTTGGTGTTTTGAGACAGGGTTTCCCTGTGTAGCCCTGGCTGTCCTGGAACTCACTCTGTAGACCAGGCTGGCCTCGAACTCACAGAGATCCACTAGGATTAAAGGCCGAGACAGAGTTTAGAGACAGTTTCTATTTCTCTGGAGCTCACCGATTCAGTTACACTGACTGGCCAACAGCAGCAAGAATGCATCTTTCCACATGCCCAGCTCTGGTGTTACAGATGCATGCTGCTGTACCCCACTTTTTCTAAATGCTAAGGGCCCAGACTCAGGTCCCCGTGTTTGAACAGCAGTCACTTAATGGACTGAATCATCTCCCCAACTCCTTGATGGGTGACTTTTTTTTTTTTAATGTGCTGGGTCCTCAACACATAGGCTTAGAGGATGGGATATTTGTTGGCTCTCTATTTAATAGATGAGAAAATAGGCTTGCAAAGATGCATCCCAGCTAACCATGGCTCCTGGGCTCTCAGGTGGTGGTGTGGACGACACTGGAGCCTTGGGGAGGGGAGTGTGGCAGCCTGTGCTTGGCCTATCCTGAGACAATTGAGGGACACACGTATCCCAGCTGCCTCAGTGCTGGCGTGTGCCTGTGGTTGAGGAGGGCTGTGTAATGGCAGTTGAGGACTGTGTGACTCTTAGAAGCGCTGTGATCTGGATGATAATTCCTGTGTGCAGTCTATCAGTTCACCCACAGGGGGCACTGTCTGTGAATTGTTTGTCTGTCTCTGGACTGTGGAGCTGGGCTCAGAGCAGACACCGTCTACTCATCTGCTGAACTGAGGACATCCTGGTGGCCCGAGGAGCCGCCTTAGTGAGTCAAATGCTTGCTGCACGGAGTGAGGGCCCGAGTTTGAATCTCTAGCACTCCCACAAAAGGTCAAAAATGGAAAAGGCAATTTCCACCTGATCTACTTTTGCACCATGGCCAAGTCCCCGATCCTGGTCAGAGACTGCCTGGATTACAGAGTTTTAAACTCTTGTTGTTCTTGTGTGTGTGTGGTGTGTGGGCATGTGCACCACAGCCTACATGGAGAGGTCTGAGGACAACAGTGTGGAGTTGGTGCTCTTTCCGCCTTTACATGGGGTCCAAAATTCAGGCTGATTATGGCAGGTGCTTTTACCACAGAACCATCTCTCTGGTCCCTGTGTGATATTTTATTAACATTTTTTTATTAAGATCACAAAGGCTTTTGGGTGTGTAGTTTCTCCTGGGATGTGGGATGAGATTAGATCCACCCCCAGGATAAAATGAGTCATGTGCCTTGGATTTATGGGGCACCTGTAATTTGGGGGTGGGGCCAGGGGCAGAGATAAAATTTGGGTACAGGGTTTTATGAAAGGACCTTTCTCCATTTCTTCTGCCTGTTCACCTGCTCACCCACTCGAAAATATCCCCAGCCTAGACGAGAACTAAATTTTCCAGGAGCCCTGAGCTTATCTCATAGGCTTATTTGTTTATTCGCATGCTCATTAGAACATCAGTCCCTTGATGCTGCACTGAGAAAATAATAATAATACAACACTGCCCTCTAGGGGTCATAGAGAGTAAGTGCAATGATGCTCAGTACAGACCATGCACACTGGAGTCTCCGCCGTTCTTTTATCAGTAGAAGTAGTTATGGTGTTCCTATTATTGCGGGTACATGGTAAGCGTATGGAAATTATTGAATACTGTTAGTGACTTCCTGTACCTGGTCTCCTTCTCTCTAGCCATGCACGGGACGTTTGTGATCTTGTTACCTTTTAGTCTGATCATGATGGTGTTCGGGGGGATGACCGGGTTCCTGAGCTTCCTCCTTCGAGCCCACCTCCTCCTGCAGCTCACTGGGACCCTCTTTCTCTTTGGAGGTAGGTTTCCACCTGCCCAGGGTCCAGGTCCAGATGCGTGGGTGGTGAGGGCTGTGCAGGAGCCCTCTTTAGGGGCGGGGTCTCAGCTCCTGTGAGGGCTTTTCCTCGTTGGGATATCAGATGGAAGGGGCAGAGGTTTCCAGCCTTGAGGCCCCAAGATCTCCGGTTCCAAGGAAGGGGGAGGAGGACACAGCCTTGGGCGTCATCCCTAGCACCTTACTGAAGAGCTGTGCCTGTCACCTCCGTCTGGTCTCCCGTTGACGGCCTTGGCTTCCAGCTTAGAGTTGTGGGGGGCGAGAGACCCTGGCACCTGCTGCCTCTGCTGCTCCCTGCTGAGCAGTGGTTCTGATGTGGGAAGCCAGACTGACCAGCCACGGCAGGACACAGTGCACGTGATTTCACTTTGCTGCAGGGCCTCAATAAGCTGAGCTTACAGTGAGACAGACTAAAGCCTAGCAGGAGCTTTGGCGGGGACCAGGGATATGCTGGTTGAACAGCTCTCAGCTTTGTTTAGCAGGAGTGATAAGTTCAGGGACCTGTTGTCCATTCTGGTGATTACAATCAGTACACAATGCATCATGCACCCGTGTACACTGCACTTGCTTGTGGCTGAGAAGGTAGACTTACATGTTTCACCACAAAAGGAGGCTGTGTGAATCAATGAACGTGCTAATAACTTCTAAAGCTGCTCCACCATATGCACGCATGTTAAAACCATGTATATCACATGGTGGATACAGACAAAGGTTACTTATCAGGAGGTGGCACAC